CAATAACAAAAAAAAATTAATAATAATAATAATAAAACATAAGCGCACACATTCAACCCCTCTAACGCACACACTAAAATATGCAACCACACCGGAAGCACAAAACTCATAATTTGAAACGCACATACTTCCTTGCTAACTTGCGTTCACTGTAATTTATCTTTTGTTTTATTATGAAGCATCGATGGGTGAGCTTATGTGGGTGGCCATATGAAAAGTCTAAGATTGCAGTGATGGGTTGTGAGGTGTTTCGTGTGGGTCAGAAATGTTTATATGTTTTTGAGTCGGGGGTGTGTGCGTTTGTGTGATATGGCGTGTGCAAAAATATGAAAACTATGTATCCAATAAAGCACAAGTATATGAGTTTCGGTTATGGTTAGGCATGTGAATTTGATGTGGTTAGTGGGTGAATATGACGGGTACGGTATGATGTGGTTTACATTTATCTTTTCTTTTATTTGTGATGCGTTGGTGGTTGCGCTTATGATGGTGGGCGTGTGCAAAGTCTAAAATTGCAGTGATGGGTTGTGGGGTGTTTCGTGTGGGGCGGGAATGTTTATATATTTTTGAGTTGGTGTTGTGTACATTTGTGCTATTTGGTGTGTGCAAAATTATGAGAATTATGTAACTGAAAAAAACACAACACCATGTGTTTTTTTTTTTTTTTTTTTAAGCGTATGAAACACAACACAAAATTATGAGATTCAAAGTATCAAACACAACAGAATTATGCATCGGCACGAAAGAGGAAAAACCGCATATTGAAACTACAAGACGACACTGCACATTGGATTGAGGGAGATGGCCTTCTAGAGTTAGCTTCAAAATATTCCATAATGTTTTTACCTCCAAAGGCATTCATATAGATGGTTACTTAGATGATTTCGTACCAAGGGTCTCCGAGTTGGATAACAATCGCTTGTTGCGGTCGTTCACTGTTGAGGAGGTTAAGGAGGCCTTCTTTTCAATGGCGCTTGATAAATCACCAGGGCCTGATGGTTTCAGCCCGGCTTTCTACCATCACTTCTGGAGTGAAATCGGCCACGACGTGGCACATTTTAATATTTGTTGTGCAAATAGTGAGGGGTTCCCGGTCGGCATGAATGATGCTATCATAACCCTCATTCTAAAAATGACTATACCTATCACTATGGGGGATCTTCGGCCGATTGCGCTTTCTAACGTAACGTACAAAATTTTTTCGAAGATGCTGGCTAATCGGTTGAAAGTGGTTCTTGAAGGGGTGATCTCGGATGTGCAAAGTGTCTTTATTCTCGGTCGCCTAATTACAGATAATGTGCTTGTTGCTTCTAAGGTAATTCATTATCTGAAATGTAAGAGAGAAAGAAGAGACGGGTGGGTGGTGTGCTTTAAAGTTGGATATGGTGAAAGCATATGACAAAATGGAATGGCCCTTCTTGAAAGAGATTATGTGTCGAATGGGCTTTGATGATCAGTTTGTTGAGCTAGTCATGCATTGTGTTACTACGGTTCGATATAAGGTGGGTGTTAACGGAGATCTCATGGACTACATTGAGCCGACGTGTGGGTTGAGGCAAGGGGACCCTTTGTCTCCTTCTTTGTTCATTCTGTGTGCTGAGGGTCTCTCTCACTTGTTGTCTGGAGCTGTTCGCCGATGGCTGGTCTCACCGTGTATTGTGGTGAGGGGGTCTCCCCGGATCTTGCATTTATTTTTTGCGGGCGACAGCCTGTTGTTTTTCAAAGTAATGGTCTAGAAAGTTGAAGTTGTTAAGAGCTACCTTGTTAGCTATAACGTATGTCTGTCTAGTCTGTCAATTTTGGTAAATCTTGCATAGTGTTCATCCGCAATACAAGAGAGATTGTTAAGAATGATGTTGCAGGCGTGTTCAATGTTCAACAATCCGATAATATTGGTCGTTACTTAGGTCTGCCTATGGGGGTGGGTTGCAATAAACGAGAGGTTTTTGCTTATATTGAGGCAAAGCTGAAACACTGTTTGGGTGGGTGGAACAAGAAGGTTCTCTCTAGGGCGGGTAAGGAAGTGTTGCCCAAGCTCTCCCTACATATACAATGAGTATTTATTTCATCCCACTCACTTTCTATTAGCGGTTTGAACGAATGATGAACAAGTTCTGGTGGACCTCCGATGGCAGCCGCGATGATGGTATAAGGTGGATGGGTTGGGAAAGGATGTATAGCCCGAACTCCCCGAAGTCTACAGGTGGAATGGGTTTTAAGAGCTTGCATAAATTTAATATTGCTTTATTTGCTAAACAGGGTTGGAAATTGTTAACAAACCCTAATTCCTTGGCTGCCCAAATTTTTAAGGCGAGATATTATGCTAAGGGGGATTTTTTGAAAGGTAGTATTAGTGCTAATCCGAGTTTCTGTTGGAGATCCGTTGCTGGCCAGGGCGTGCTTCGAAAATGCTGTTTTAAGAGAATTGACAATGGTCGTACGATGAGTGTGTGGAAATAGCCATGAGTGTGTGCTTGACCATGACGAAAACTTACAGGTTAGTGCATTGTCACATCCTCAAACTAACAACTGGGATATTGCGTGGCTGAATGAGTTGTTTGAGCCTCGTGATGTGGAGCTCATTTTGCAGATTCCGGTTTCTAGAAATTTTGACGATCAATGGTGTTGGAGAGGGGATATAAGGGGCTATTATTCTGTTAAGCATGTTTATCGTTTGCTTTCTAGTTTGTATGATCAAGGTGTAGCTTTGAATGATGTATGGCGTAAAATCTGGAATCTAAAGATCTCACTGAACATTCACAATTTTCTGTGGCTCTGTGTTCATTATGTTATTCTCACTTTGGCTGCCCTTTCTCATCGAGGGGTAGAAGACTAGAGGTGGATGCTGTTTGCCCTTTATGTAATCAGTAACCGGAGACGTTACAACACCTGTTCTGTGAGTGTGTGCATGTTGCCCCGCTTTGGCATGATCATGTTGGTTACCCTATTCCAGATGCGAATGGTGACTTTGCGGCGTGGTTGGCTGGTATTTTATTCGACGGGGATGTGACGACAAAGCTGAATTGTATTGCGAAGTGTTGGTGCATATGGCGGGAGATGAATGATGTGGTTTGGAATAGCAAATCTTGGCATGCTATGCGTATTAAAATAAAGGCAACCCACTTTGTTTATGACTGGCAGGACCTAATGAATATGGCATCTATTGGCGGAGATCATCCACCCTCTCCAGTTAGTGTTCCTGCAGTACCTGAGGACGTGGTGAAGATCCACGTTGATGCGATTGTCTTCCCTAACTCTGATCAGACATATTTTGGTGTTGTTATTACAAATGGTGATGGTGGTTTCATTGCAGCCAAGAATGGTTCTTTCCGTTGCTTAAACGACGTTCACCTAGCATAAGCAATGACCATCAAGGAAGCTCTTTCGTGGGCTAAAGACAGAGGATTTAATAAGATTTTGCTGCTTTCAAACTGCCAGATAGTGTGCAATCTAATTAATGGGTCCTCGATTGATTTATCTTATACAGGCAGTGTGATCAATGAGTACAAAGTCTATCAAAGACACTTTGAAGCACTGTTGTAAAAATCGACCTAGGCGCCCCTTAGCCATTCCGCTTTCACTATTAGGCGCCCAAAAATTGGTCGGGCGCCTAGGCCGCCGGCTAGGCGGCAAAATCGGCCTAGTCAGCCAACTCGGCCGAGTCGGTCAATTTCTTCCGATTTTGACCGATTTCGTCCGATGTCGTCTGGTCTAGCCGTCCATAGACTAGTTTGATACTTTGAATCTTTGCATGATTGAAATATTTGAGTATTTTTATTTTTTAATATTATTTTGATGTTATGACTTATGAATTATCATTATTTAATTTATTTGGATGTGTTATTTGATTGAATGTTGAAAACAGCCTCATTAAAATTGTCAAACTACAAGTTTCCCTCTATTTTTTTGGCGCCCGTCTAGCGTCGCCTAGATTCCACCTAGGCGCCGCCTAGGCACTAGACTTTGCCCGGGCGCCTGACTAGCGCCTAGCGCCTACTGCAACCATGTTTTGAAGTAGTGTCCATTAAGTTTATTTCTAGATCAGTGAATAAGTCTGCTCATGCTTTGAAAATGGCAGCTCGTTCTCAAACTAGTCATTCTATTTGAATTTTTTCTATTCCATCTTGTATTAAACGCTTGATTTAATAAAGCTCTAGTTTTCCTTAATGGCGTGTTTGGTTCACGGAATAGGTCGGGAATGGCATAGCATTCCCAGTAATATGCCTATTCCTTTGTTTGGTAACCATTTCTATTACCAGGAATATTATTCCTGGTAATAGCCTATTACCTCAAATAAGGTAATAGCTATTACTAGGACCCCCCCTGGTATTAGCCTATTACTGAACGCTCAGGAATAGATTTTAGAATCTATTTTTTTTATCCCTTTCTTTAACCTAATTTTTTTATCCTACACCACCACCGCCGCCCCCACCACTGTCACCGCCGCCGCTGCCACCACCGTCACCAGAACCACCACCCAGCAGCACCACCGCTACCACCACCACCACCGCCGCCACAACCGTCGCCGCCCCCACCACCACTGCCACAACCGTCACCGTCAACCGTCACCACCGCCACTGTCACCCCCACCACTGCCACTGCCACCGCCACCACCACCACTACCACCCCAGCACCACCGCCACCACCACCATCACCACCACCGCCACCATCACATATTTTTATAAGGGTATTTATGTCTTTTAAAATATATTTCATTTCTATTTTTTAAATCAACCAAACACTGTAATATAATTCCTAAAGTCGATTCCTTCCGCTAACCAAACAATAAAATACAATTCATATTCTATTTCTTGTCTATTCCATTCCTTATGAAATATCATTCCTATTACTTCAAAATTCATTCCGTGAACACTGTAAATGAAAAAAAAAATAGTCTTTTAACCAAATGATCCCTATCCAATACCCAAAATACCCATAATTTATTTCGCCATTAAGGTTTCAAAGTACCCAAAATTTAAAGAGGCTAAAACCCTATCACACCATTAATTTTTAATACGGAGTAGCATTCTTTCAGGCCAATCAAGCATTCCGGCCAATGGAGTCTAAGGAGCAGCAGCCACCACCGCCTAAAATTCAGATATATCCTACTTCTACAGGAGAAATTACGCCTTTTTGGAGAGGTTTCTCTCTCCCCCTCCATATATGTAAATTGTTCTATTGCTTATTGGGGTTTCTTCCACTTAATCCTAGCTTTATTTTCTTTTCTGTTGTACAGAGAAGTATGAAAGAGATGCGAAGAAGTATTGGGATATCTTCTACAAACGCCACCAAGATAAAGTACGATTCTTGTACCCCAAAAAAATCCCTTTTTTATGATCCATTTTGTGGTATTTTAATGATTCATTTTTTGTAATAGAGTTAATAGTACTGAAAAAGGAGTAGATTTTAGAAGTGTTTAATGGCTGTTTTACTTTAGTGTTTGAAACATATTAATATACTTATTATTATTATTATTAATTTTTTTTTGAAAGGTATTAATATACTTATTTGTGTCAACTAGAAATTAAATTTTTTCTGTAATTTCTTTATTCTTTCCCATTCCTACGTTGCACTATTGATAAAGGCTAATTCTTGATGACCCTCTTTGCCAAACATTGATAAGCCTCTGGAGGGGTGCTAATTCTTTTTATCATTTTATTATGAAATTATAATCAGTTTTTCAAGGACAGGCACTACTTGGACAAGGAATGGGGACACTACTTCTCTGTGAGTGCAAAACAATAATCTCAAAAGGCTTTAGTCTTTTACTTATTTATTATTATTTTTGCAAGTCCTACTTGATATTGTGCATGTAGTTGCACTCATTTTGTCCAAATCTTTGCAGGGTGCTGGAGGAAAAGTAATTCTAGAGGTAATTATATAAATGTTCATCATATTGTGGTTTATATCTTCTGTTTTGCATAGCAAGTATAATATTAACTTTATTATGCTGATGAAATCACTCAGTTGAAAACCAGTCCTGTTTTCTGAATACTTTTTACTTCAAATGTTGTCTACTTGACATTGAGTATGTTGCCCCAAAAATTTCCTTCCTATTTCTGAGGACTCTGTTGTATTCACTATGGATTTAATCTTTTGATTTAATGGTGAGTTTGTCTTTTAATTCGATGGGCAACATCTAGGACCGTTCTTCGGATCTAATGTTTTCTCTATGATTGTTTTCAATACTTTACATGCTCCTTTATTTTTATTTCAATTGGGATTATACGACAAATGATTCTTGCGTTGTGGTTACAACCAAAAGAACTTTAGCCTTTTCTTTTAGCTACTAAGCTTTAAAAGCCGGGTTAAAATGCTGAAATTGATTAATGATTTTCATGCTTTATGCTACCTCAGTTGTGCAGTTCCTACAGTTAGTTATTGATCCATTACTCCTGCTGTCTCCAGGTTGGTTGTGGCGCTGGAAACACTATCTATCCCTTGCTTGCTACATATCGTGACATATTCGTGCATGCTTGTGACTTTTCACCGCGGGCTGTAAACTTGGTTAAGGTAGATATTGGCCTTTCAAGTATTTCTAATTTGTTTTTGGCAGATAAGAAGATATTTACTTGAATAGTTGCTAATGTAATCTGAATAGATATCTCTGTAATTCTATTGTTAGGTTGCATACATCTTTTAGAAGTGGAATGTACATTGTTATGAAATTATAAAAACCACTATAGATATAGCTTTACGGTATTGAATGCTTCAACAATGTTATTCTGATTGTTTATGGTATATGTAAGTTCTCATTTTCATTCTACCATGTAGAGGCATATATATGGCCATGCCACTCTATATCTAGACATTGGAATAATTCAAACTTTAGGATACTGATAGGGAAAATAATCAAGGGATCGGATCCAAATTGCGTGATTTTGGGGAGCTAAAACCAAGTAATTACAGGTTGATTAATTATCTCGATTGATTATTTATACTTTCTCTTTGAAGGTAAGTATGCAGTGTGTTAGAAATAATCAGCAATAACATCTGAAAGGAGTCACCAGGGTAACCATCTTGGCTAGTTTAGCGATGAATTCCTCTGCAGTGGTTAATCTCTTACCCATTTTGATGTGTAGTTCTTCTCGACTCTTCTTAAATGCTTCAACTCTTGAGTCCATTAGTGTCATTCTAGTTGGTAGGTTGGACCAGCTTAATGGAGTAAGGTGATAGTATTGGGTTTGAACCAAGGAGAACAAGGAATTGTAATACCAAGGTGCAAAGAAAAAACAAGGATACCGTAAAGTTCCCTCCAGCAAGAATGAATTCTTGCCCACAGTTACTTAGAGCCAATTATTTCCCATTGGCACTAGATGCTCTGTCTTCTAAGAGATGGTCCCTATTTATAATCTATTACCGTATGTAAAATAAGCAAGGAACATCAATTACCAATTACATAATCAGTAAATCCCTGATTATATGCTTTCTTAAATTCTGCCATTTGAATGATTTGATTAATTTCATTTTCTGCCGCATTTCCTTTTTTCCTTCATGAGTAAACTAGCTAGGGCTCCGGGTCTGTATCAGTTACGTAACATCAACCTTTCTGTAATGCTAACTGAATAAATTGGAAGTTACATGAAATCTTTCAGAGACGAGACTGTAATAGTTTATTGTGTAATTCTGGAAGTAATTCCAATAATTTTCCTCAGGAGTTAATAGATACTTATTCAACATGCCCTGATGGCTGATCAGTCTTTTTCTGAATAATAAATTGCAGACACACAAGGACTTCAAAGAGACCCGAGTGAATGCATTTGTTTGTGACTTGACAATTGATGACCTAAGCGAGCATATTTCTCCTTCTTCAGTGGATGCCGTGACCATGGTATTAGAATAAAGATACATAATCTGTTTGATAGAGTTTTGCTATAATATTTATTTGGAGAGTTTTACTCTTTACCAGATGTCACTATTCCCCTTTTCATAAGCTTGGGGATCGTTCACTTTATAAGCAAACTGACTTGTTAAGCAGATCTTTGTTTTATCTGCAGTAACTCCTGAGAAGATGCCTCTGGTGATACAGAACATTGGAAAGATTCTCAAGGTTAAGTTCGGCTCATTCATCTAGTTGACTTTTCAAAGCATGAACCTACTTCTGTTATTTAGTTCAATTTATTTATTTTCTTCATTATGAATCTTCGTTTTTCTGTTTTCCAGCCCGATGGTTATGTCTTATTCCGTGACTATGCAATTGGAGACCTAGCTCAGGTTAAACCTTACACTGTGTGACACAATTTATTTCTCATGTTTGCATAGTTGCTTGTTACCTCATCATTTTTGTAAAATTTGTTTTTGGTTACTGGTGTTATGATGTGAATGACGATGAGTTGATGATATAATATATTTTTCTTGCCATTTTAACACAAAAAAAATGCTGATTAAGAAGCCATTGTATCTTTATCTACTATGTATAGTAGTGTATTATTCTTCCCAAAAGGTTGAATCCCCAACCCCAAGTGCCCCCCATACCCTGGCTTGACATGGCATTTGGGAGGATGTAAATCACGTGACTCAATGGCTTAGCAGACAGGGCCAAATGCTGGTGTGCACAAGGGATCTGCCCGCTTTGGGCATAATCCCCACACTGCCACTGTCAAGGTTCGAACCTTGGTCTCTTCTCCCAAAGATGGCCTACTGAACCATTGAGCTAAGTCCGTGCGGGCTATAGTAGTGTATTATTGACACAACAAATGTATTTACTTTTGGGAAAAGGGTCAAATAGGCCCTCGAACTTTAGCTTAAAAGTCAATTAGGCCCCTAAACTTTTTAAAGGTGCAATTACACCCATCAACAATTCATTTAGGTGCAATGAAGCCCAAAAACAAGTTAATGACCTGCTATCACAGGTCATTAGGGTTCAGGCCACCTTCTGACGAATTTTCCGGCAAAAAAAAGTGACCAACAACCGACCCAGATTTGCCGAAAATTTCGCCAGTCACTTTTTTGTCGGAAATCTCGCCGGTCACTTTTTTTTTTGCTGGAAAATTCGTCGGAAGGTGGCCTGAACCCTAATGACCTGTGATAGCAGATTATTAATTTGTTTTTGGGCTTCATTGCACTTAAATGAATTGTTGAGGGGTGTAATTGCACCTTTAAAAAGTTTAGGGGCCTAATTGACTTTTAAGCTAAAGTTCGAGGGCCTATTTGACCCTTTTCCCTTTACTTTTTCATTTGTGGATAAGTATTGATGTTATTCACAAAAGCAACAAAAATGCCACAATTTGCATGCAACAAAAATGTATGTACTATGTGAAGTGCAAAGTGAAAGTTCAGTTGATATAAAGTGAAATTTTAGTTCATCCAATTTAACTTTCAATAAAAGCAAAATGAAAATCTTAAAAATCAAATGTGGACTAATCTGAACTTTTTTCAATTGCTCCCATGGCACATCATGGTTCTTGCAATGTACTTGTAAATTTCCCCTATCCTTATATTGTAAGTTTGTATTTTCAGGAAAGATTTATCTCAAAGGAGCAAAAGATCAGTGAGAACTTCTATGTTCGAGGTGATGGAACTGTAAGTTCTGGCCGTAGATACTGATGTTTCTTAGTGCCAAATGTTTCTTATTCAACACGCATCTTATATAATCTTTATTTACCAGCGGGCATTCTACTTCTCTGATGAGTTCTTGATCAACCTGTTCAAAGAGAATGGATTTGATACTGAAGAGCATGCTTTGTGTTTTAAACAAGTTGAAAATCGGTCAAGGGAAATTGTGATGAATAGGTAATTGATCTCAGCTCATTTTTACTGTGTTAATTCTTGTTGCTTTTTAACACGATTTTCCATTCCACATACTTTTACTCCATAGACACAGGATACACACATACACAGACACATTTTGTATATGGGAAAAATGCACTTTTAGGCCTTGAGTTATAAGCCAAAGTGTAATTTTTGTCCCTAATTAACATAGAGTTGCACTTTTACGCCCTAATTAGTAACCAATGTGGCTTATTTAGTCCTTTTATTTTGGATGAAAACCTAAACAACACTAATATATAAAGGGAAAAATTGTATTTTTATTCCAGTTTTCTTCCTTATTGCACAACCAAAATATATATCAATCAACTCTAGAGAATAAACAAATTTATACACAACAGAACAATTAGCAATTAGGTATATTCATAGAGCTATATTTATATAGAATACAAAGCATATATATATATATATATATATATATATATATATATATATATATATATATAGGTTTAAGTTCCAGTGCGGGTGAATGCTTCCCGTGTAGTTGTGCGGGTAATTAATGTGCGTGAGTCTTGTGCTTAAGGTGCGTGGAGTTTGTGCTTAATGTGCGTGAGTGTGTAGTGCTTAATGTGCGTGAGTTTTGTACTTAAGGTTCGTGAGTCTTGTGTCTAAGGTGCGTGAGTTGTGTGCTTAATGTGCGTGAGTGTGTACTTAATGTGAGTTGTTGAAACTTTAAAGTGCATGAGTTTTGTGCTTAATGTGAGTGAGTTTTGTGCTTAAGGTGCATGAGTCTTGTGCTTAAGGTGCGTGAGTTTTGTACTTAATGTGCGTGAGTGTATACTTAATGTGAGTTGTTGTTAAAACTTAAGGTGTGTGTGTTTTTGTGCTTAATGTGCGTGAGTTTTGTGTTTAAGGTGCGTGAGGGTTGTGCTTAAGATGCGTGAGTTTTGTGCTTAAGGTGCGTGAGTTTGTGTTCTGAATGTATTTTGTTTGTGTGTTTAATGTGCGTCTGTTGTGTACTTAAAGTGTGCCAGTGTAATGCTTAATGTGAGTCCACTCGCACAACCGCACGGGAAGCACCACCCGCACCTGATTCCTTCCCTATATATATATATATATATATATATATATATATATATATATATATATATATATATTATATGCCCCCGGGGCATAGCTCAGTGGTCGAAAGGTTGAGTGTGGGTGTAGTGACCTAACAAATACCCAGGTTCGAATCCTCGATGGGAGAGGATCTCAGCCTTGGGGCAAAAAGCAAGCACTTAGACCCTGCGTCACTAAGCCACATCCCGCGATTTACGTCCTCTTACAATCCCAAGCACTCAGGTTTAGGGTGTGTGTGTATATACACACACACACACACACACACACACACACATGAATGTGTGACTGATTGTAAAAATTTTTTAACCTCCGCTCTTTGCTAGCGTATCCAACATCATTAAACTAAAGTAGACACTTCCAAAACTCATCAAAATATTTGTCAAAGAAAACCGTACACCATAAAAAGGTCAAACACAAGAAAGATAAGTGGCATTTTTCATTTTAAGCATTGCGAATGGAAACCCTAACTTACAATTTAAGAGATTAAAAATTAGAATTTGGTGTTTCTTTTGGTTCCAACAAGTTCCTAATATACATTGGAGATCATAATTGTGGAAGATTTAGCTGATTTTCGATGAAGAAGAGTGCATTTGTTCGGGTTTTGGGTATTCGTAATTTGAGAAGAATTAGAATCATTAATAGTTCAAAGAAGTATTTATAGTATTCTAAAGTTACTAAATTGCTCTCCATCAAGTGTGTATTTTTCAGTCCAAAATAATGGCATCTATTAAAAGGACTAAATATGCCACCTTAGTTACTAATTAGGGGTAGAAGTGCAACTCCATGTTAATTAGGAACAAAAATTACACTGTTCTTTAACTCAAGGGCTAAAAGTGCATTTTTCCCTATTTATATATTCCAAGCAATGATGATGGGTTTAGATTTATATATCTGTTTAAATTAGATTAACTAAACTGTTTAAATATATGAGTTCCCTATTTACAATTTTAACACAATCTGATGAACAGCTTGGAATTTGGAATCATTTCTTTTCATCTAGGAGAAGAATTTAGTAGTATTGACTAAAATAAACAAATGTAATGCTTCTACTTTTAGTATAAATAATTTTCAACTATCACATAAAATTTATTTTTGTTTTCATTTTTTTAATATACTGTGTAGATCCTCATCAGTTGTCTCTTCAATTTTTTCTTTTGAATCCTGACATGTTATGATGTTTCATCTGTGGTTTTAGACGTTGGGTTCAAGCTGTATTCCGTTTAGGTTGTGGTAAATCTGGTGTGAACACTGAGAGCAAGGTAAAACTCATCGGTATGGACAGTCCAAAACCTGTGATTCCAGAAAGAACTCAGAGCAATACAAATGGGTTTGACTTTGATATTTCTGATGGAATGGCTCTTGATATGTTTGGTATTTCATCGTCAAGTGAAGAGGTATGAAACTTGTCATCTACTTTTAGTTCTGTTTCTCATCTATTATCTATCTAGTATATTATTGGCCTGTATCACTTTGAAATAGAAATTCAGCACTGTTAAGAGTCCCACATTGAAAAAATATAAGAGAGAACATATGAGTTTATAAGGCCATGGGTTAGACTAGCTCATCTTAGATTATAACCCAATTGAGTGATCATGGCCTAATCTCAGATTATAACATGGTATTAAAGCCTGTTCGGTCCACTTTGTGTTCATCCGGTTGTCTACTCGTGGTATTGGTAGCATCCAAGCTATCGTTTTAGGGGAAGGGTCCTAATCCTAAGCCCGCTTGTTCGGTCCACTCTGGTGGCATCTAGAGCTTATAAGGCCATGGGTTAGACTAGCTAATTGATTGGATTCAGTCTTTTACTGTGGTTTGGCCCATGTGCATTATAGTGACCTTGATTCAATCTTAGATTATAACAAGCACCAATGATTGTAATTTGATGAAGGGTGTAAGGTGTGCATATCCTTTGCAATCTATTTTAGCATGGAGTCGGTAGGGGCAAAAAAAAAAGGTAACACTCTAAAATGAATCACACTGCATAGAAATGTTATCTAGGTACATGGTACACACTACCACTAAATCTCTTCAATTTTTGACATTAATGTTTCTTCTCTTACACATTTTAGATTGTTGAAGTTATCATAAGTGGCTTGCACTTTAAGATAAATGTCGTCTCAAAAGAGTACCAGCACACATGCAAATCAACTGGCTTAATGCTATGGGAATCAGCTCGATTGATGGCTTTAGTGCTTGCTGAAAACCCGGGGATTGTTGCAGGGAAAAGGGTCCTAGAGTTGGGATGTGGATGTGCTGGGATCTGCTCTATGGTGGCTGCAAAATCTGCCGAACTTGTGGTTGCCACTGACGGAGACACAAAAGCTCTCAACTTGTTGAACCAGAACGTCGCCCAAAATCTCAAATCATCACTTTTTGCAAAACTGATGACAAGGAAACTTGAATGGGGGAATGGAGATGATATCGAAGCCATCAGGAGGCTGAATGGCAAGGGGTTCGATGTAATATTAGGCACTGATGTTACTTACATTTCTGAAGCCATCACACCCTTATTTTCAACCGCGAAAGAGCTGATTTGTTCGGGAAGAGATATTAACGAGGATCGGGAGCCAGCTCTGATTCTTTGTCATGTGCTGCGACGAGTTGATGAACAATCCATATTGTCAGCAGCATCTGAATTTGGTTTCGAGTTGGTTGACCGGTGGCCCGAGTTGGAAAACCCTTCCATTCCATCCCCAAACATAATCAAGAAATGGTTCTCTCAAGAATTCTGTGCAAATGGTATCCCAACCACAGCTTTGAGTATTTTGTACTTCCATAGAGTATAAACTAAACAATGAATTGCCATTTTGTCTTAATTGTATTATTATTACTGAAATTCTATATGCTGTTGTGGACATACTTTTGATAAATTTTGTTCCTCAACAAGTCAACACTGAAATATGGGTTTTCGTAGTGTCACATTGGCATCCATTATTGAAATTTGTTGTTCCCACTTCCCATCATATTTCATTTGTAAGGACCCGAAAGGAAATCTAAGTTGAATGGCCAATCATTTTATTGTATAATGGATTTGGTCAAATGCCTATCACAAATTCAATTAGAATATCTATAAACCAAAGGTTGACTTTGTCATTCCACCATGTAAAATGGAAGCAAGAGAAGATGCACATTGGCATTGTTAAGTGTGGATCATGTCTTGGGTTTACCAAACCCAAATTGTACTATAACTGTAATGAAAGTGATATATATATATATATATATATATATATATATATATATATATATATATATATATTCATTTTAATATGATTGTTTTATATAAAGAATTAAAGTACACAGATTTTAAGAATAATAGGGTAAAAGTATAATAGCATCTACTTTACTTTTTTGTATATAAAGATTAATAAACTTTTTGACTAATTAAAAACGTAACGCAAGGCCTGAAAAGAGGGCAGTTGAGTGAGTGGAGTATGATTATCTTTGAAGTTCATGTTGTTGAGTAGGTATGATTGATCAAAGAGGGTAGTTGAGTGAGTGGAGTATGGTTATCTTTGAAGTTCATGTTGTTGAGTAGGTATGATTGATCTTAAGAATATCTTGAACCATTAGGTCTGACAGATTATGGATGACTAAGCAATTCACATGGTTTTTTTTTTTTTTTTTTTTTTTTAATTTTTTTTTTCTAAACGATAAATTTATTGATAAAAAAATGGCATATACAAAGAGTTCAAGGAGACCTAGGTCCCATAAAAAGTGGGTAGACAACAAATTGCTACAAAAAGTTATGCGAAGATAATAAGTTAAAACTACAATTCGAAGTATAAGTAAAGAATCTTGTAAAGTTTGAATTGTATTATGTTAAATAGTATCCACAAAGCGTCAAGCACTGCCCTTACATTCAGCTGTTGATCACAGAATTGACTTATACTTATCAAATTTGCTATAGTATCCACAAAGCGTCAAGCACTGCCCTTACATTCAACTGTTGATCACAGAGTTGACTTATACTTATCAAATTTGCTTTCAGGCCCTGAACAAGTCGTACGTGTTTTAGTGCAGTTAATCCTAGTACATTTAAAACTCTAATAGCGCATATCGTATTTGACCCTTAAACCCGTCTCTAAAAATCACTTTTCCATCAGTGGGTGTAATATTTTTCAAATTTCTTTCATCCCCAATCATGTGCCTGAAGCATCTAGTGTTGAAGTACCATCTTCCCTTGGACTTGAATTCTTTCCTTTGTAGAGCCATATAGGACACAAGGTTTGATTTGCGAACCCATAGTTATTTCCCAACTGGAGTAATCCATTTTTTTTTAAATTTTTCTTTTCGTTGATCACGATAGAAGTTATAGCATTCTGGTCTCGCATGACCTTTCTTGTCACGATAGTGGCAGATAGGCACATAGAATCGAAGAATTTTTCTTATTGATCTCCGATCTAAACTAGGACCTGTACCAACAATGATAAACTTTGTTCCTGATTGACTTCTAGATTCTTGAATATATTCCATACCTTTTCGCATGTTTGGAGATCATCCAGATTCTAGTATCTCATTAAGCATTGAAATAGTACTCATCATTTGAATTTGTCTCTTGAGATTTTCAAGTTCATTTGTGAGTTTTGATTCCCAAGACAAGGATTCAACTAGTTCTTTTTCTTTTTTTAGCAAGTTGACTTCTTAGGACAACAATATTTTTCTAATAAATCATATTCTTTGTAGAGAAAGTACTGAGTTTTTAAAAAAAGTTTCTATTTTTTGAATAATTGAATATAAGATTCATCTAGTTCTTCATATGCTAGTTTATCAAAATTTTCATGATCTGTTGCTAGTTCAAGATTCGGTTATGTGATTGTAGCAATGAAGGCAACAAAGTTACCTGAGATTTCTTCATATGTGACATCATCGTCTTCTTCTATTTCTTCATCATCACTCCAGGTTGAAGCTTTCATTGATTTCTTTATTTTCAAGTATGTAGCACACTCAATCTGAATATGACCAAAACCTTCACACTCCCTACATTGAACTCCTTTACTCTTAGGCTTATTTTTTCCAGTCTATTGTTGATTATTGCAGAATTGAGTATTTTTCCAGTCTATTGTTGATTATTGCAGAATTGAGTATTGGTTTGTCCAGATTGATTTGAGCTCCTCTGAGAGCTTTGATTTTATGATTTTCCAATAGTTTTTGAGGAGGAGGAGTTAGAATTATTACTGCGATTGGACTGAGTTTTTCCTCCTCTGTTTCGATTTCTTCGATTATACCGTTTAATAAACTTGGAAAAATCTCAGAAAGTAAGGCAATTGTGTCTTCATCAAGTTCCTCTGTTTCTGACTCAGAATCTCTTCCATCTGCAAGAAAAGCAAGATTTCCCTTTCTTGGATGCATCATCACTTGAGAACATTTGCATCTCATAGGTCTGTAAGTTGTTCAATAATTCTGCAATAGTTTTTCCTTCCCAACCTACACTTTTTTAAATTGCAGTGACCTTCATTCTAAACCTTTGAGGAAGGGGTTGTATGATTCTGTGTACCAATTTGTTTTCGGAGAAGGGTTCTCCCAGTACCGCAACTTCGTTCTTGAGTTCTTGAACTCATGTATTAAATTGCACAATAGTCTCTTCTTCACACATCTTAATTAAGCTTCTCAAATTTTGTATCAACTTGTAGTTTCTATTGCTTGACAGACACATCTCCTTCATAAAGAGCTTCCATACATTCCAAGCTTCCTTAGCTTTAGTACAGTCAATAATTAGAGTAAAGGCTTTGTTGTTATATTCGCTAGTAGCAATTTCATCAGCAATCCACGGATCTTCAGGAGTCAATTCTACAGTCTTGTTTTCCTTTAATCGACTTGGACGTGTCTAGCCTTTGACAACTGCAACCCATACTCTGCCTCCTTGCGCTTGAAGGTAAACTCTCATACGTGTCTTCTAGTAGGGGCATAATTTGACCCAATTACCAGTGGAGGTATCGGTTGGCCTTCCATTTTTCCTATTCAAAATTCACAAGGAAGAACACATAAAATTTTCATGAAAACAAGATAACACTTTACAGAGCACCACAAAGAAATTTAGGAAAACAAGAATTAGTTCTTGAAATATGATCTGATACCAACTGAAAGTTAAGGAAAACAAGAATAAGTTCTTGAAATATGATCTGATACCAACTGAAAGTAGCAATAAAGCTAACAATCAATTAAGGTCTCAAAATACTCAGTAGTTTGAAGTATTAGTTCAACGGAGTATTTCGAACCAAATTCAACAAAACAGTAAGCAAAGTAATCTCAAATTACACTTAGACCTACTAATCTAAAGAGCGAGAAACATTGAAGACGTAAAATCTACAGGAAATGAAATTAAATTGACACATCAAATTTGATAATCCAGTTCAGAGTAATCACTTTGGGGGCATTATAAGGAATAGTCTGCCCAATTCCTCATTCAATTATAAAGGATTCCAAGAATCATTCACATTGAACACGAAGTTTTCAAATCGAAATCACAGCTAACACTTGGCTTAATAGGTTCGAAATTTTCATCTCCCTCTAACGAATGAATTTCTTCCCACCTATAAATACCTCTCTTCACCTTTGAAGAAGGTGCTGATTGTTCAACAGATTTTATCCTTAGAAAAGCTTTTCAAACAAGTTCATTCATAAGCTTTTCATAATCAGCGTGATACGTTTGTGAAGTTTTCAAAGAGGTTCATCCTACATCTACACTTCACAAACTTGAAGAAGTCTTGCATCTTTTCTCACGTGAAGATTCATCTAATCAACAAGACAAGACTTCAACCTGTTGGAGAAACACAACATTATCTTTCCAACACTCAATTCTGAGGAAGAAGTTGATAGAGGTGGAATAAACTCAAGGAGTTGAAAAACCTACCAAGTAGATATCCGGCTTAGTGATCAAGAAAGCTAGCTTGAAGTAGTTTGTACTAGGAGTGATAGTGCAAACCCTTTCACAAGTTGTGAAAGAAGAGTGGAGTAGACTTTCGTGCATTGCATATCATACTGACTCAACGACATTCTCTCCTAACTAAATTGTGCAAGGTTCAAATTAAAACAAACTAGTTATTCCGATGTGCATCACTCCGAAAGGAGTTGTTTTGAAAAATCATAGTTAGTGTTTGGTTATCAACTTTTTAAAACACAACTATGAGATTTGATTACCCCTTCAATTAAAAACTTCATTCTCTAATTAAAAAAATGTATCATTCCATCTTATTAGTAATATATATGATTTTTAAGTTTGTATTAGTGCTTTTAGATTTTCGTTTTTTTTTGTTCATATTGATGCTTTGGATGTCCATATATTATGATCAATTATTTTGATTTTTTGTTTTTTAGAACCTTTATTCTCATTACAGGGTCATACATAACCAAACATCAATATTGACAGTGGCGGACTCAGAAAATTTTTCCAGTGGGGGCAAAACGCATTAAAACAAAAAAGATAGTTTGATAAAACATAAAACACTTAAAATATAGCCATAAATATTGTTGGATGTATACGAAAAATAAAACACATTAAAATTTTATAAAAAATATTCATAACAAAATATGAAACATAATTAATTTGATAAAATAATTCAAATAAAAAATAAATTATAAACACATCTCATTATTAATATAAAAGAAAGTTATATATATGTGTGTAAATCTCACAATTAATACGAAGTATTAATCTAAAAGCCATAAAGAAATATATAACATGCAACGCTTTCACCCTAAATCCCAGGGATAAAATCTGCACACACACTCGCTGAGGAAGGATTCGAACCCTAGCCTCTTAGAAAGATGGTACACGTGCCTTACCACCTGGGCTAATTAACTTTTTGTTAAATTTAATCTATTTTATTATACTTATACTAAAACTTGTACTATATATACATATATACATACAAGGGTTATATATGGGGTGGGGGTGGGGTGAGGGGGGGCAGCTGCCCCCACTGCCCCCATGCTGGGTCCGC